AAGGGAGCTTTTTTTTGGTTGGAAAAAAAAAGGGGGGGGGGGGATTAAAAAAAAAAAAAAAAAAAAGCAGGGAGTAACATGCCAACCAGGATATCCCAGCTGAAACGCTTATACCTGAAATTTTCAGATTAAAAAAATGCTCATCCAGAGCAAAATTTGTGTTCAGGGCGGAGTAGCTGTTCCCAGCACCAATACCAGACAATTTCTGTGGTAAAAAAGCCTCACCGAATGCCCAGTTTTTCACCGAGAGCAATGTGCCAGTACGGCCAGCAGACAGCACAGGCCGTTTGCTTTACTGTTCCCAGATGTACCATTGCAGGCGAGTGTGTAGAGGGCCCTTAATAACACCACAGTACTTTCATTTCAGCATCGTGCTTTTGCAGTGAATCTGTCTCCCGTGGTCTCCCTCGTGGTGCAGCACTCCTGAGTGAGGCATCCGTGTGCCGGTGCTCCCCGGGGAGCGGGCAGAGCTGATGTGCTCAGCTGGAGCCAAGGACACATTCCTCTTTCGGACTGAGATCACTGGCTCGTGTTTGCTATGTGGAAAGGCAAAAAATATCACATGCTTTTAAAAAAACTGGGTCAGGGAGGGAGGGATGCAACCTGATGGATGCAATCTGAAATTAGCTCCCCCCTTCCCTGCCCCCAGGCTGAGAAGTCTGGCAGAGAGCTGGCCACAGCAATGGTCACGGTGGCACCAAAAGCAGCTGGAGCTGAGCAGGGCATGGGTCAGCTCCTTCCCTGGGAGTGGGGAGGTTTGGCAGAGCTGCCAAACCCAGTCTGAGCTAAGGGATCCCTCCTTTGTCCAAAGTGGACCCCCTTAACCAAAGGGGGAGCATCAGGAAGGTGAATTAAAGACACACCGGGCAACAGACAAGAGGCTGCTTCTGCAGATTCTGCCAAGTCTCTCGAAGACAAATTGTTCCTTGCAGCAAGGATGGAAACAAGGTCATTCATAAAAGAGTAATTGATGTCTGGCTGGTGACAGCCCTCCGCGGGGCTGATGTGGCTCCCTCCTGCAAAGGGAGCAGGCAGCAGCCCGTGGCCACCTCCAAGAGTCTGGGAGATGGTGAACCAGCCTTGACCCTTCTGCGTTTTGTATGCAAACTATGTGTTGCTTTTTTCTTTTTTCTTCCAAATGTCTTCTAATGTAATTAGAAAGTTGCTCTTCCAAAAGCCTTTTGGCTGGGAAGGGAAAGAGCAGGCTATAATTCATTTATAAGATGTTCTCGGAACCATGTAATTGCTCCACACCAGCTGGATGGAGAGGGAGCTTCCCAAGGGGCTGCATCTCAGTATTCCCAGAGAAGCTAGAGAGAAATAAAGGGAGACCTGATGCTGGAAGTGAAGGACTGAGATGGGGTGGAGCCGAGAAAGGGGAGATGACGAGGATGATTTTAATCTTAGGCCAGAGAGATGGCCAAAGTGCTGGAGCTGGTGGGGGAGAGCATGGAGGGAGAAATTTAGGTGATGCCACCAGCATGTTGTTGTTCCCACTCTCAAGTTCATGGTGGGTCTTCTCAATTGCACCCTTACTGGGACGATGGGTGGAAGAGCTTTCACAGTGCTATCAGTGCTGGTTTTTTCATCTGCCATCATTTTCCATTTTTTCCTTGTCTTTGAGCCTGATACTGGTAAAAACATTGACTTTGTTATGCTGTTTTTTGGGGGGAAAGTTGTTGGAGGAGATGCAAAGTGCAGGGTCTGGTCCTAGGGAGGAGCAACCTGAAATGCCCGTGTAACCTCACCTCTTCCCCTCTCCAATTTATGCTTTACCTGCAGGGGTTGAAATGCCCACCCTGGCCAGGTTCAGGCTTGGTGGTGCCATGCTTTGGTCCATGGCATCTCACCATGCGTGGTCTTCTCCACCTTCGCTACTCCTACCCGCCTTGTGACATCAGCGTTTGATCAGACTTTCCTCTCCTTTAGGGTCCCATTTCTCCCATTATCCCATTTCAGCTCCTGGCAAGGCAGCAAGTGATCTCACCACCTATTTGGCCAGGCAGCTGCCAAAAAAATAAAAGTAAAGGAGAGACTGGACATAAATAATTTAAGATTTTTCGCAAGAGTGGGGAAATGCCAACGGCATTCTTGTTCTTCCTGGAGCAAAGCCCCCAGGCAGGGCATCATCTTGCCACGAGCAGAAAAACACAGCAGGCAGCAGATGGACAAAAACCAGCAAAAGTCGTTTTATTGGCGTGTTCACATTCATTTCCAGGATTTGAAGTAACGCATTTTCCTTTCTTGCTGCACAGGGAGGAGTTTGTGGCTTTTTTTTTAAGCCATACTTTTTAAGCAAAAGTTTTTTGGTGAAGCAGAATCGGTAGCAGCAACACTCTTCTTCCTTTCCTTAAACTTTAATTTGGTAAACTTTCATGAAAAATTTAATTTTTTTAAAATGGTTTCAACTACATCATACTATTGAACTGCTCATAGGAAAAAATCAGAAACCAAAATAAGCTGCTGTCAGCTGGGTAATTTTGCCCTGCTCCATAACTCCATGTTGGAAGAGGAGCAGTTTCACAGAAAAGCTTGTAAAGGCAATAATTTTTGTCTGGTGCTTATTCATCATCTTTTGCCATTCCAAGACTAAGCTGTGGATTCATACTTGATGAGCCTATTTGGCCTTCAAACGCTTTACAGGCACTTTTTTTCTTCCTTTTAATTTTTTTTTCTTTTTTTTTTTGGTAATGTGAACAAGATCCTTTGGTCCAGCTGTCACAACAGGCAAGCAGTGTTTACATCAGGGGTTTTTTTTTTGATCTGATTTGTTCAAATAAAGAGACAAAGTGTCTAACTTCCAGCTCTGCATGCCTAGGGAAGAAGGCAAAAGTCAAGCTGCCTCCTGTGTGGTTGCCGTTATTGTTTTGACACTTCAGGGTCAGTTTCTGGCCTTGATTATATTTCTGTCATCCTTTTGTCTAACTGGGATGGTGCTGATTTAAGGAAGGCAGCTTGGCCGTGCAGCTGCCACCTCGTGAACAGGGTAGAGTCCAGCTCCTTTTCCAGAGCAGGTTGTTCTCCAGCCTAGGTACTCGCTTCTTTGTGGGCTGCTTGTGTGGGTCTTCCCCCCTTTGAAACTGATAGCTGTTTTAAGCACAGGGGGTTGAACCCCATGAGTAAGCAGGAGGTATTCTGGGGCATGGTCCTGCTGCAAAGGAGGAACATACTGTAAATACAATGGTTTTCTTTCCCTTTTTTTTTTTTTTTTCCCCTCTGCAGGAAGCCAGGTCCTTTTTGGTTGATTCCTTCAAACAGCCACGGTGTAATTAGAGGGCTCCTGATGGAGAATCACATTATTATCTACCTAATTTCTTTTAAATAACCAGCATTGTGAGGGTTATTTAAAGAAGGTGATGTTTAGCTCCAATTTTAACTAAACTTGCTCAAGCGAGCATATTAAATACATCCCGATGGTGTTTTCAAATGGATGTTTTTCTCCCCATGCTGTAACTGATGATATTTTTCCTCTTTATCCTCAGGGATTTTTCTGTTTTGCTCTGGCCTTCTTGGGATTGATCCCAGCTGCCTGCTGGAGATACACACACAGCACAGAGGTAAGCATCGGCTGCTAGGAAATACCACCAGCATCTTGTCAGATGGAGATTTCTTTGTAGCAATGCTTTCTCCCATAAAAGGGACATTTGGTGGTAATTAAGCCATCCATGCAGAGCTCTATCACATCCGTCCTTTGCAAGAACGGGGCTGCCTTCATCAGCTGCCTCTCTGATGGGGTCATTTGAAGGGAGAAGCCAAAAAAACCCTCACACAGGGCAAACGCTTTGTCCTGAAAGCCAAACAAAGTGCAAGTTTCATTTTAAATAGCTTGGGGATATTTTTTTTTTTGGCAGGGGATGTTTTGGTTTGGCTTGTGTTTTTTTTAAGTTGAGATGCTTCACTTTTGAAAAGTCATTTCCAGCCAGCTCTAATTCCTGCTAACGTCAATTGGGAGCCTCTATTCCAAGGTGGCGGCAGGTTGTGACTCTTCAGGTTGTCCCTGGCAGCGGCCAGGAGAAACACCCGGGAGGCGTGTTTATTCACAGGCATTTACAGTGATACAGTAAAAACACTAGAGTGAAAAATGGTAGTTTGGGTCACTGTCACACTGGGCCAGAAAGAGAAGATGGTATGAGGTTGAATTTGCCAAGAAGTTGGGGTTTGAATTGTTAACAGGGAGCTCGCTGGTGGTGTGATAGATGGTGTGGGAGATGCAAGGTGCTGGGGAAACTGAGGCAAGGTGTATAGAGTTGCTAAGGGGTAACCCCAAACCTCTCAGTGGGTACCCTTGCCCCGTCACTGGGATGACTCTGGGGCTGGGGTAGCAGGATGCTGGGGAAAGCAGAAATTTGGCTTAGTATTAAGCAGCCTAAAGAAGCTTAGGCTTTTTTTTTTTTACCCTTTTCCTAATCTGATATGATTTGTTTTTTATATATTTATTCCTCTTCTCATTCAAAGGAATTTGTTGCTGCTTGGTCTTAATTCCCCTTCATGCATCCCTGCACAATAAAAAGAAAAAAAACCCCAAACATTTTAAGAGACTTCGGTGTGCAAAAAAGTCATGATTCCTATTTCTTGAAAGTAGAACACAGATATTTTAGGCAGGTATCCAAATTATCTAACACTAATTCAGGTAAGAGTTTGGGGCTTTGATAGACGTTCCATGCAGCTGGTTGGTCCCCATCTCCATTTTGCTCCTACCCAGCCCCAGGCACGTGCCTCAACCTGGGATGCTCTGGCCAACGGTGAGGGTATAGGTGACGTGAAACATCATCCCAATGAATTAGGGTCATGTTGATGCTGCCATCTCATCTCTGTAGGGTTACAGACATTGTGTGGGATCAAAGACCAGTGTGTCAGGAAAAATCATCAGAAGGGATTTCATTCTGTGCTGGGGGAGCACTCCACCAAACCCCAGAGACTCGATCCATGCTAGGAGAGCGGCAATTGCACTTCTCAGGGTCAAGAAGCCCTGTCCCATAACGTTCCAGTGTCCTGTGCAAAAATTAAAATCCAGTCCTCTTGGGAGCAGAAGTCTAAAGGGCAAAGTCTAGGTTAAGGGGAGGAATAAGGTCCTGCTTCTCTAGGAAGTTTGTCCAGAGCTAACCAGTGGCCACAGTAGTTGAAAATCCTTTGAAACACACAGGAGGCTGCGCTGGATGAGACCAAAGGTGCCCACTCTCAGACAGGCACACCCACTGTTGGCTAAGGTAGGAGCATAAAAACCCAGTGAGCACAAAGCAGTGATTTTTCAGATGCCACCAGCTTGTGGCTTAGCTGCCTGCTGGTGGTACCTGCTGGTGGCACCTGCTGGTGCCTTTGTCTATAATGCTCTCAGTGGATTTTTTTCTCTGTGAATTTATCCAGCTACTTTGGAAACGTTAGGGTGAGCGCTGATGGCACAGCAGCATCTCTTATCTTTACACTTACCTGGCTGAAGCAGATTCAGTCAGAGCTGAGACGTCCATGAAAAAGAGTCTTTCTCTGCGTGTATTTTTCCCTGGTTTCATGCAAAACTATCAAAATGTATTATTTTCACACTAACAATTTAATATGGAAATCATTTTTTTTTTCCTGACCAACACAAAAGGGAGGCCTTGAGCACAGTTTCTACCTTCTTCTGCAGAAGTTTGTAATGAGAGATTGAAACAAAAGCTATGTTGGTAAAGGATAAATGGCACCAGAAAGTATGTCTGGTTGTTCCTCTGAAATTGTGTTATCCAATAGACTGTTTCTACAAACATGCGTGTAAAAGGCTCAAGAAAAAGTTGTATATTGTGTTAATACAGAGATATGCCATTCAGAAAAATATTTTGATGAAAATATTTAAAGGAGAAAGGCTTTCTCTGTATATCTCTTAATCACTACGTCTGTTTATACTAAAAAATATTTTCCTGGTTTTTTTGAGTGCCCTGCCCATAAATGCACCCATGTGTTATGGTTAGCTGTAGTAGTTGGTTGGGTTTCTTTAAGCAAAACAGTTTTCACTAGGCAAAATGAAGGGTTTTTTGTAAAATGTTTACTTTCTGGGTAAAGAAAACCAGCAGCGTTTCTGACAACAGAAAAATTAAAATACCATTAAAGGTAGTTTTGGGTTTGTCCACTTTCTAAAATGCAAAGAGAAATATATAAATGAGGAAAGATTTAATTAGGAGTGTCACTTACAAAACATATGGAAATTTGGTTTTCCTTGCAAGGTAACCTGTCTCACCACTGAGAGAAATGCAGATGAGAAAGAAATGGAAATGAGAGAGAAATGCAGATGTGACTTTCCCTACAGGACAGAAAGACAGGGACTGCAGTGGCACAGAAAACCAAATGGAGCTAGGGGAAGACTCCTGAAGTTTTGTTATGGAGCCATTTGTTTGTCTGACTTTCTCAAAGTAAAGAGCAAAATTAAAGCAGGTCTCCTCCCCCACCCTACTGCGTGCCCGTACTGTCAGAAACAGTTAATTGTGGTAATATGGGGAAAAAAAATAAACTTGAGGGGTGTCTTGTAAGCCTAATGGGATGTATACAGCTATCAAGAAAAGAGAATTTGTAGATGTAAAAGTGAATATGGATGAGTTTGCCCCCTACACATGCCTGAATCAGTGCCTCTGAGAGGACTGAGGTACTACTGCCCCTGTGTTCATGGCTAAAAAGAAAATTTGCATCTTTCCAATGAAAAATACATTGATTCCCCAGTGAAAGGCCAGGCAGAACACCAGCCTGTTCCGTTTGGAAACGCCAGCTGGGAGCTGCTGTTGGTAGATCCCATCCTCTCCCTCCCCATGGGCGAGGTGCCGAATGCAGTGCTCAAAGTGGAGCCCTCCCCTCCCTCTGCAAGCCAGGAGATGGGAGGTGCCTCCTGCACCAAACCACGGCGGGTGCTCTCAGTGGTTTACTCTTCCCGATTAAAAAAAAAGATAAAAATTTTCTTCATAAAGCAGACCCTTCTTACAAAAAATCACCTAAAATAGAAAAGCAATTTTCAGTTGAAAAATTGTTTTGATGGTTGTTTTCAAGAGGCAGTGAACAGAAATGTCTAGATAGGAATAGAATGTGATTTTATGAAATGTCATTTGAACATGATCAAAGCAAGATGCCCTTTTTGCCTTTGTGACTCCTTTAGTGGCCTGTTTACAGTACTTCTTACAGAGAAGCTACACAGGACAGGAGAAAAAGAAGAGTTATTTGCAAATATTCTATATTCTTAGACATAGGCATTGTAAACCAAATGTGAATCTTCTAATTTCCCAATTTTTTCTGCATTTGTGATCTGAAGTAGCTCCTAAACAAATTCTTTCAGACAGATGCGTGTTTTAAGTTCAAGTTACCCGCATGCCTGATAGACTCAGTGTCATCTGTCTTTATTCTCAACATAACATATACCAGACATGCCAAAATCTTGAATCTGAGGCTTATCATGTTTTAACCTAAAAGGTTGATCCGTCTGTTCGGCATTGTAATTATTGCTTATTCCTGCTCTATTGACCCATGCATGTGGCCAATCAATGGGGTTTGAGAGGTCTAGACCTCCTCTGTACTGTCTTCTCAGGCAGCTTTGCATTCATCAGCCTGCGTTAAAGTACTTTTAATGAGGAACTAATAAGTTACTCATGAACAAAATGGGGTAGAACAAATTACAAGCGTAACATCCCAGATCCTCTCCCTGTCTTGCCAGCATGTATAATGCAGTCTTTCTTTTAGGATCTACCCCTAGTTTACAAAGAAATACTTTGCCTCTTAGCCAATGGTGCCAACAGAAAGGGTGCTGCTGTCACTTGCAAAGGTATGAAAACTTTTCTGGGCAGGTCAGCTGCTCAAAAGAAAATCTGAAATGAAAATATTTGTAATCTGGAGGTTGTTGAAGGACCTTTTCTCCTGCTAGTTGTTAGTGCTGAGCCATCGTGTTTCAGCATTTTCTAGTTCAGCTTGTTCTTGGGCCCCATCCTCACCTGCTGCACCCAGTACTCCTCCTTCACCTGTGTCCAACATGCTCTCAAGCCTATGGCTCCAGAAACACCCCAGCCCAGCCTCCAAGCCCCTATGAAACTCTAGTGTGCTTTTCTGCCTGACCCAAATCACTTGAGGGAGTTGATCCTTTTTGATGTCCAACCCAGTGCAGACAAAGGTCTGCACAAGGGTGAGGAGCACGTTTGGTTGCCCTCCCTATGGGCCATCGGGCCAAAACGTGGTCTTGGTGGGAAATGTGATATTCGTAGGAAAGTGTAACAAACCCGTCTGAGGATTGACACTGGTGGTGCAACCAAAGTGAAAGAGGAACGACGTACAAGAAAGGGCAGGGAGAAAGACCTCTACACAAGCACCTTTGATGCAACAGCTGTGCTAGCCATGGAAATTATGAGGGTTTTGGCTGGTTTTTCAGCTACATTAGGAAGTCCTGATTCCTGAAGCCAAAGAGCTGAGTGTTGTTTTCCACAGTTATTTTCATGGCACTTCCTTTACCACAAATCGCTGCCGATTTAGATGAGGTCTTTCAGTCATTCCCAGCATGGCCCAATGCAGCTGTGACTGGGGATGTGGAGAAGGGTGTAGGAGAGACTTATGCCACATG